CTAACAAGGATCAGCTAGGAATAGCTGCTTTACAGACGGATGATGTTCTCATGGTTGTTAATCTAGCTATGAGGGCAAGGGAAGAGAGGGAGCTGGTCAAATCCAAGCTGAGGAGCAAGGAAATGGAGACCTTCACACACGCCGAGCCGATGATTTTTAATGGATGCAAGCTATCCTTGGATAAGGACGGGTTCGGACTGTCAGTTGGGCAAAAGGGGCAGGGTGAGAGGCTTGCCGTAATCAAGCTCGATTCAGCTACGCGGGCTAAGGAGTACTTGGAGCAACGTGCCCGAGGGGCGTATTTAGCTACCATTTGCTACCCAGAGGCATCTTGCGCTCTATCGATGGCTGCCCAGCACCAGGAACCGAGGGACGAGGACTATAAGGCCCTTAATAAGGTGATCCAGTGGCTGATCGATCACCCAACTCGAGGGATCCATTACGTGCCCTTGGACCTGAGGACGGCGAAGCTCTTTGTGTTCGTGGATGGAGCGTTTGCTAATAACGCTGACCTTAGCTCCTAGATCGGTTTCGTGGCTATCCTTGGCAATGAGGCTCACGTAGGTGAGAACGAGTTCACTTTGACGGGTAACATCTTCTATTGGGTGTCACAGAAGTGCAAGAGGGTGATAAGGGCGGTGTTAGCCTTTGAGCTATACGTTATGTCCTTAGGTATCGATATGGCTATTGTCATGTCGACTACCTTTGCTCAAATCACAGCTCAGCTAGGGATCCTTAATTTCCCCGTGGTTGTGTGCATTGACTCTTACTCGCTCTACGAGTGTATGGTAAAGCTGGGAACTATCAAGGAGAAGCGCCTGATGATCGATATTATGGCTATTCGGGAGTCATACGAGAGGCGGGAGCTATTTGAGGTACGCTGGATCGGAGGAAAATCCAACCCTGCTGACGCCATGACTAAAGTCGGGACTAACACCTCTTTGCAAGAGTTAGTTTTGACCAATACTTTGAAGGTGCAGGTAGACGGGTGGGTGGAAAGACCGCTGTAGGAGAAGGGAGAGTGAGGTTTGGTGGAGTGAGATTGTTTTTCCTTTGTTTGATCACTTTCTTTTCTTTTTCGGTCGATATGGTAGTTGGCAAGGCACTGCTTGCCAAAGAGAGAGTTGCCGGTGTCGGTATATCCATATCGACCTTAGCTAGCTAGTAGTAGTAGTAGTAGTAGTTGGGGAAGCTCACTCGTGAACCATGGTTCACGGGCTACTTGGCATGCCTCGCTTAGCATGTCAGCAGTCAAGGGACCCTCAACTTGATAAGTAGACCTATTAGTTAGCTAGTGCACGTGATTCCTTCTAATCCTATAGAAGGAATCAGCTCCCTTGAATCTTGGGGAGCAGACAGAATTCAGATACCTTATCAACCGAGTGTTTTGCAATTGCAAGTACTTTGACGACCGTTACGACCTTACGAATATATATTCCCAATCGCTTGGAAGCAATCCAACACTTTACGTTATTATTAAAGCTTAAGAAAAAGCAATAGCGGCGATTATGAAATCGAGAATCGAAGTCTAGATTAAAGACTTGTTCGGATTTAGCTTTCGCTTCGACAAGCTATTAGGCTACTACATTCTAGTGGTTCCCGATACTAAGGAAAACGTAGAAGTCTTTTAAAGTAAGCTTATTTTTATGAACGCCTCAACTATTAGACGTTTAAGTCGGAATAAAAAAGGCAAGCTAAACCTTTTAGCGACGCAAATTCGCAAATAATCTATCGCTCGCAATTGCTTCGAAGTAGCGATAAAGACTTTAAAAGTTTTCATTAATATCGATAGTATAATTAAAAGCAGATCTCTTTTCGATAATAGATTTAAAGTTAACGTAATAAACAAAGAAGTAGCTAAGATAGCCAAACTACTTATTATAACGGATCGAGCTTTAGTTTATACTACCGTGTCCGAGGATTTATACAACTTCGATAAATAAATAAACGACGTCGAAGTTATTATTAACGGAATCATCAACTACGCCGATTTCTTTATTATCAATAATAGCAATCACGAGATCATCTTAAGCATACTTTTCTTCTTGGAATCCCAACTTTCTTTTTCTTATTTCGATAACGGCACGATAAAAGCTTTTTTTTAGAATTACGATCGATCTACTTAAAAGCAAATTATTATTATAAAAGACAAGTCGGATTTAGTCGAAGACCCGAGAAACTAATAGCTAGCATGCAAGCTAAGATAGATGCTAAGCTAAAAAAAAAGCTTAAAAAGAAATTCCGCCCGTGAACTATAGTTTACGAGTGGATCGGTATAAAAAAAACAAAATCATAAAAAAATAATTCAACTTAACATTAAGCAAAGCTTATTAAAATCAAAAACATTAAAAATATTTGCAATCAAACTCGATAAATCGGAAAATTTTATGTTTATTATCGACAACGACAAAGACCTTTTAAAAAAGAATATAATAAAAGTTAATACGATATATAAAAAAAAAGCGGAAAAAGTTAAACCGGTGGATTTAAAAGTGTCGGATAAAGAGATACTTAAAAGGATCGACGATTAATTTGAGCAAGATAAGAAAGCGAGACTCTTTAAGCTTAAAGGACTTTTTTCGAAATACTTTACTAGCAAGTTTTCAAACTTAAAAGTTAGATTAAGGTTAACGAAAGAACGATTCGAAGCACTTACGATTAGCTTTTAAGTTATCCCGGAAGAAAGAAAGCTGCTTTACTAATGCTTTTTAAATCGAAAAGAAGCGATAGCTTAAGATTTTATTCATTTTAATTAAGTCCGGAAGAAAGTCATGCCGCTTTAAAAGATCAAGACGATGCTTTACGAAGCTTAGCAAAAGAAGACGTTTACGATATCGAAAGCTTTGCAAGAAATAGTCATTTTTATACTAAAAGAACGATTAAAGCAAAAGGTGTTGGATTGCTTCCAAGCGATTGGGAATATATATTCGTAAGGTCGTAACGGTCGTCAAAGTATTTGCAATTGCAAAACACTCGGTTGATAAGGTATCTGAATTCTGTCTGCTCCCTAAGATTCAGGGGAGCTGATTCCTTTTATAGGATTAGAAGGAATCACGTGCACTAGCTAACTAATAGGTCTACTTGTCAAGTTGGGGGTCCTTTGACTGCTGACATGCTAAGCGAGGCATGCTAAGTGGCCCGTGAACTATGGTTCACGGGTGAGCTTCCTTAACTACTACTACTACTACTACTAGCTAGCTAAGGTCGATATGGATATACCGACACCGGCAACTCTCTCTTTGGCAAGCAGTGCCTTGCCAACTACTATATCGACCGAAAAAGGAAGGAAGGTGATCAAACAAAGGAAAAACAATCTCACTCTACCAAACCTTACTCTCCCTTCTCTTATAGCGGTCTTTCCACTCACCCGTCTACTTGCACCTTCAAGGTATTGGTCAAAACTAACTCTTGCAAAGAGGTGTTGGTCCCGACTTTAGTCATGGCGTTAGCAGGGTTGGATTTTCCTCCGATCTAGCGTACCTTAGATAGCTCCCGCCTCTCGTATGACTCTCGAATAGCTATAATATCGATCATCAGGCGCTTCTCTTTGGTAGTTCCTAGCTTTACCATACACTCGTAGAGCGAGTAAGAGTCAGTGCACACAACCACGGGGAAATTAGGGATCCTTAGCTGAGCTGTGATTTGGGCAAAGGTAGTCGACATGGCAATGGCTATATCGATACTTAAGGACATAGCGTATAGCTCAGAGGCTAACACCGCCCTTGTCACCCTCTTGCACTTCTGTGACACCCAATGGAGGATGTTACCCGTCAGAGTGAACTCGTTCTCACTTACGTGAGCCTTATTGCTAAGGATAGCTACGAAACCGATCTGGGAGCTAAGGTCAGCGTTATTGGCAAACGCTCTATCTACGAACACAAAGAGCTTCGCCGTCCTCAGGTCCAAGGGCACGTAGTGGATCCTTCGAGTTGGGTGATCGATCAGCCACTGGATCACCTTATTGAGGGCCTTGTAGTCCTCGTCCTTCGGTTCTTGGTGCTGGGCAGCTATCGATAGAGCGCAAGATGCCTCTGGGTAGCAAATGGTAGCTAAATACGCCCTTCGGGCACGTTGCTCCAAGTACTCCTTAGCCTGCGTAGCTGAATCGAGCTTGATTACGGCAAGCCTCTCACCCTGCCCTTTTTGCTCAACTGACAGTCCGAACCCGTCCTTATCCAAGGATAGCTTGCATCCATTGAAAATCATCGGCTCGGCGTGTGTGAGGGTCTCCATTTCCTTGCTCCTTAGCTTGGATTTGACTAGCTCCTTCTTTTCCTTTGCCCTTATAGTTGGATTGACAACCATGAGAACATCATCCGTCTGTAAGGCAGCTATTCTTAGCTGATCCTTGTTGGTTGACACAAAAAGGCAAGAGTCAAAGCTCGATTGCCTTATGCCGAGGTTGTTTGTAAAGTGCCCGGAAAAACGCTTATACTAGTGTGTCCTTGCCTCGGGGATGCCGTATAAGGGGCCAGTCATAAGGAACAAGGTGCCGGGGGGGAATCGATGGGTGATCTCCTTAGGTGGTCGCACGACGATTATTCGAATGAGCTTCGTACTTGACTGAGTGTAAGCTTGAGTGATATCCTTGCCACAGACCTGACACCCGTAGTCTTTTATTAGCGAAGGAGCCAGAGCACAACAGAGTCTTTGGCCCGCCCGCTGCACCGTAGGTGACTCGGTGAGTACCCTCGTCTTGCCCTTATCTTGGAAGGCTTGGACCACTATACGAGACTTCTCGTATAACGTAGGTGTTCCCTTGCCCTTGATCTCGTCAACAAACTTAGATCCGAAGATCCTGGCGCCTTTAGCGCGTGGGTCGGTGCCCGGGATCACTTGGAGGATGCCTTGGGCTATTAATCCAGCTAATTCCTTTGCTCTGGACTCTTGAAATGGTGCCCTAGGGCTCTTGATGACTCCCTCGGCTCGTAGCTTGGCTGAGAGCTCATGGTCCCGGCGTTCTTTGTCGGTAACCAACACTTCGGAGTCTTTGGTGAATAGCACGTAGGAATCGTCCTCCTCCTCATCGAGCACGGTCGGGATACTCGGATCGTACTTCTGGTAAGGTATCTGGACTATTGGTATTGTTGACTTCTGGGAATTGACAAGTTGAGGGGGGTTGTTTGCTGATCTTGGCGAGCTTCTTGGATTAGGCGACCTCGGTGGATTAAGCGACTTTTGAGGTTTAGGCGAATTTCGTAGTTCCAGCTCTTTTTCGCCTTCGCTTTGATCTTCTTTCACCTCTTCCTCTACCTCTACCTCAGGTACTTGCAACTCTTCTGGCAGCTTTTCAACTTTAGAGTAGTAAGGTTTTACTGAGGTTGACTTGAATTCCGTAGGCCTCGGACAAGCCACTGTGCACGTGTGCCCTTGCTTGCCAAGCAGCTGAAAGGGGCCCTTCCACCCTTGGTTTTCCCGCCACACGAGCACCCGTGAGCCAATAGGGAGGTTTAGGGTATGCTTCGTAATTGGGCCATTCTTCTTCTTGAGCGCGTCCTTAACCTGCTTCGCAGCGTGGCATTTTCGTACTTCCTTTATAGCTTTGTTGATGGCAGCAGCACGCTCTTGGGTAGACGCGGCAGGTCGATCTTGCTCCGTCAGCTTCGGTAGGGTCCCAAAAACGAGGAGTGTAGGAACCAGGCCATTAGGTCCAGCTGTGTCGTTGATGGCTTTGATAGCCATTTGAAGCCGGTCCTCCTTTGGGGCTTTTGGAAGCTCTTTTGTGACGATCTTAAAGGCGCGTCGCACAGGGACGTGGTAGCGTTCTACTAGCTCGACGCTGTGATGGGCTTCTACAGGCATCTGCTTTGGGGTGCTGCTAATACCTTTGAGGTAGCCTCGGAACGTTACTGAATTGAAGTTGGTTCCGGGATCGTGTACGACGTTTGTAGGAGGTCCGACGTAGGTATTGACCCAACATCGATTGAATCCCTTAAGTAAGTGCTGTGCGGACATGCTTTTGAGGAAGGTGGCGGCTTGAAAATTGGTAGAATCGCAGACGACGTGCAATACGTTCTTGCCGTCAAGGTGCATTACGTCCACGTATACCGTATCATTGAAGTCAGTATCATCTTTGAGCTTGATACTAAACCTCTTCGGGGAGCGTCCGAATACTTGGCAGTGGTGGCAAAACTTTTGAATGTTGTAGAGCAAATCCCGCTTAAATTCGTGCCCGGCCCTCTTGAGAACAGCAGCAAATCGACTTGTTGAGGGGTGGCCAAAACGCTTGTGGATGGTCCTCAATTGCTCTTCCGTGAGGTGGCAATAGACGGTCTCGCCCTCGGTGCTATAGTAGGTAGCAGCGTGCTCTTTACTCAGTAGCATCTACACGTGCCTAAACATCCTTACTACTGGTATTTCTCTCTTCCCTTGGACTAGCACGTTCCGCAAGTTATCTAGGATCACCTTGTGCTTGTCTATGTCAGCTAATGAGAATAGGAAGGGTACGTCGCTCTCTACAACGTGGAACTCCACTTGACCTAGGGGTGTTTGTAGGGTAACTGCTCTAATAGAGGTAGCAGAGCCGATGCCGTATTTGACGGACTTCTCCTTTGCTCGGGATGTATCCAATTGGACCTCGGGGTACCTCTTTTGGAGTGCTCGTAGCTGGGGCAAGCTAGCGGTAGAGAAATTGGCTGCTCCGCTGTCGATCATGAGGCCTATGAAGACGTTTTCCGAGTACCTAGAGGCCATGTAGGTCTTTGCTTTGCCCGCGGGCACGTTTTGGGTCTCGATTTGGCTGGTAAGGGCGTGGAATGCCGTCTGAATCTCTAGCTGTTTGTATACCTCGTCAGCGTTAAAGGTGCCGTGGGTAGTCATAAAACCTTCTGATATGTTGGCGTGGCTGCCCGATTCGGGCGGCTCGTCTGGTAGGCTTGCGATAAACTGATCGAATTCTTCCGTGGATACAGGTGGCAAGCCCTCGATCGACGCTACGTATTGAGAGAATTTGCTTCTCGTCACCCTTTTTGCGTCTTTGGAGGCTTGGAACTTGGCGACGGATGCTTTTCTCTCGTCGGGGGTGTGGTTGGTGCTCTAGCAACCTGGCTTCTTGCAAACAAAACACTTTTTCTCACCCTTAGTAGTAGCCTTGGCAGCTTTCTTACTTCCGAAGTATTGGCGGTCTTGAATAAAACATTCGTATTCCTCGTCCAAATCGGAGTCAGCCTTTGAGGTGTTGTGAGAGCAGGTGTGATCGTGTGGCTCGCTAGAGCTCGCGTAAGCTCTAGCTTTGGCGGGAGGTCGGGAGGTCTTAGTTGCAAAGGCAATTGCTCGACGAATGTTAGCAACTGCCGCGGTGGAGGTAAAAGCAGGATTCATTCGTGCAATCGTAGTCTTTGGCACGTTTTTACAAGCTGAATACAGCTTGTCAGCAAGACTTCGATCGTCCCTCAAACCTGGTCGTAGAGAGCCTTGAATGCCCTTGAGCTCCTTAGCGAGCTTCTCAAAGCACTCGCTAAGCGAGGTCCTTGGATTCTCCTTCCTGACCAAATCCAGCGAAATTTCCTCTTAGCGGTCGTATTTTGCTTGCCGCCGGTGGTCAGTCTCGAAGTGGTCTCTCATAGCAATAGCGTTCGCTTTGAACGTAGGAAGCCTAGCCTTGATCATATGATTGTAATAGAAGGTTATAGCTTCCTCTGTTAGCATGATAGGGAACGCCGCCAAGTAGTCGTCTGAGGTCAAACCGTATCGACTTGCCTGGTCAGCAAAAATCCCTAATTGGGTCTTGAAGTCATCGTCGGGTCTTGAATACTTCAGCTCCTTGGGAAAGCTTCGCGCGAACAAGGCCAATTCCTTCGCTCTTGGGTGAGGGTCTGCTGCTCTTAGCTCAGGGAAATCGTCACTATTATCGTCAGGGGCGCCTGGAGTGCCGTACGCAGGTGTGCTTTGCCTGGCTAATGGTCTGATCGGTAAGGGATTACCGATATAGTTGCCGGTGGTCCGTCCTCTTCCAGGGTCCTTAGGAGGCTCATTTCCGAATCCGGGGTCCCTTGAGGGTCCGTTTCCGAATCCCTTTGGTGGTCTAGGGGGCCCATTTCTACCTCTTTCGTACCCGTAGCCTCGATCTCCTTGCTAATCTCCTCCGTTTCCTTTTCGTCGGTCATCGTCAGGATCGCCAGGGCCATTCGGGTCACTAGCTGGGGCTCTAGCTTGGTGATATCCGTACCCTTGGGCGCGTTCTTGGCGATTCCCATACCCTTGGTCTCTCTCTTGTTGATACGTGGCCTCTTGAGAGGTGTGGGTAGCTTGCCGGTACGTCCGAGGGTGCTGGATCCTCCCCTCGGGTTGTTGAGGTTGGGCACGGAAATCTGCACGCTGTCCTTGGTGAGAGCTGATTTTGTCCGGAATGCTTTTAGGTTTTGGCGGGTCTT